GCTCTGATATATTGCTGGAGAAAGCCATGTGCATGCTCAGGAAAGACCTAAAAATGTCAGTAAAGACCTAAAAGCCCCTCATCTTGTACCCTCTGGCTGACTTTGAGACCCTGCTCAAGAAGTAGAGACTAAGAGTTGTAAAGAACCTTAGCATTTAAGGTAAGCCGCAACACAAACTCAGAGCCCTAGGCAAATGCTGGAAGAGTTATAGGTTAAAGGCATTTAAGGAAATGAGACCAATCACTAGCTAACTACTAAAGTAACTGAGCAGACACTTCTGTGACCACAAACTATAGGGAGTTGTAGAATTAGTCCAGTAAAGTCATTAAAGGTATAAAAACAGTAAGTTAGATTTATTTTAGGAATACAAGATGGCTTAGCATCCAAAAAGCAATTAATGCAATATACCAACAGAAGAACCAAAATAACGTGATCATGTCAATAGATGATGAAAAAACATTTGACAAATTCATGATAAAAACACTCAATGAACTAGGTATAGAAGGGAATTTCCTCAACCTGGTAGGGGCATCTGTGAAAAACCCCCAGCTAACATCATACCTAATAGTAAAAGACTGAATGCTTTTCCCCTAAGATCAGGAACAAGACAACAATATCCACTCACGCCACTTCTATTCAACATTGTACTGGAGGTTCTAGCCAGGACAGTTAAACAAGAAAAGTAAATAAAGGTATCCAGATCAGAAAGGAAGAAGTAAAACCATCTCTGTTCACAGATGACATGATTTTGTAAACAGAAATCCTGAAGAATCCATCAAAAAAACTATTAGAAATAACAAGCTCAGCAAGCTTGCAGGCACAAAATCAATATACAAAGCTCAATAAATAATTTGAAAATGAAATTAAGTAAAAACAATTTCATTTACAAAAGCATTGAAAAGAATAAAATATTTAGGAGTAAATTTAACAAAAGTGTAAAACTTGTACTCTGAAAATTAAAAAAAATTTCTATTGAAAGATATTAAAGAAGACCTAAATAAATGGAAAGACATCTGATGTTTATGAATTGAAGGACTTGAAAGAATTGAAAGATGCCAACACTCCCTAAATTGATCTACAGATTCAACACAATCCCTGTGAAAATCCCAGCTGGCTTCTTTGCAGAATATGACAAGCTGACCCTAACATTCATATGAAAATGCAAAGGACGCAAAACAGCCAAAACAATCTTGAAAAAGAACAAAGCTGGAGCCCTCACACTTCCCCATTTCAAAATTTATTACAAAGCTACCGTAATGAGGACAGTGTAGTAATGGCATAAGGATACACATATAGATCAGTGGAATAGAACTGAGAGTCCAATTGCTTCTTGACAAGGATGCCAAGACAATTCAATGGGTAAAGAATAGTCTTTTCAAAAAATGATGCTGGGATAACTGAATATCTACATGCAAAAGATTAAAGTTTGGACTGCCACTTTACACTATATACAAAAATTAACTCGAAATGGATCTCCGACCTATATTTAACATTGAAAACTATAAAACTCTTAGAAGAAAACAGAGACGTAAATCTTTGTGACCTTGGATTAGGCAATGATTTTTTAGATATGATGCCAAACACCAAGCAACAAGAGAAAAAACAGATGAATGGAATTCATCTAAAAATTTTAAATGTGTGCTTCAAAGGACATCTTCAATAAAGTGAAAAAGCAACCCAAAGAATGGAAGAAAACATTTGCGAAGCATAATATAACTGATATGGGGCTAGTATCCAGAATGTGTAAAGAACACACACAACTCAACAATAAAAAGATAAATAACCCAATTTAAAAAATGGGCAATGAATCTGAATGGACATTTTTCCAAAGATGATACACGAATTGCCAAGAAGCGCATGAAACATTATTAGCCGTCAGGGAAATGCAAACCAAAACCACAACGAGGTACCACTTCATACTCACTAGGATGGCTATAATTAAAGACATAATAAAACTAAGAATATGGAGAAATTACAATCCTTTATATATTGTTGGTAAGAAGGTAGAATAGGTACAGTTGCTATGAAAAACAGTCTGACAGTTCTTCAAAAAGTTAAACATAGAGTTATCATTTGACTGAGCAATTCCACTTAGGTATATACCCAAGAGAAATAAAAACACACATCCACACGGAAACTTGTACATCAGTGCTCATAGCAGCATTACTAATAAAAACCAAAAGTGGAAACAACCCAAATGTCCATCAACAAATGAATGGATAAATAAAAACTCAATATATTCATGTAGTGGAATATTGTTTGGCAATAAAAAGGAATGAAGTACTGATACATGTTACAACATGGATGAACCTTGAAAAGATGTTAAATGAAAGAATCCAGTCACAAAAGATCACATATTGTATGATTACATTTATATGAAATGTCCAGAATAGGCAAATCCATAAAGATAGAAGGATTAGTCACTGCCTGGAGGTGGGGTGGTGGGGGGTGGACAATGGAAAAAAATGAGTGACTGCTAATGGGTATAGGTTTCTTTTGGGGGTGATGAAAATATTCTAAAATTTATTGTGGTGATAGTTGTACAACTTTGTGAATATACTAAAAAATCACTGAATTGTACACATTAAAAAAGTGGGTTTTATGGTGTATTAATTACATATTAATTTTTTTTAAAAGAAATTTAAACAGCTACCATATGACCCACGTATAACACTCCTAGGTTATACCTAAAGAGAAATTAAAACATTTGTCCACACAAAAACTTATATATAGATGTTCACAGAGCAATATTCAAAATAGTCAAATTGGATACAACTGATGAATGGGCAAACAAAATGTTGTATATCTGGGGCTTCCCTGGTGGCGCAGTGGTTGAGAGTCCGCCTGCCGATGCAGGGGACACGGGTTCGTGCCCCGGTCCGGGAGGATCCCGCGTGCTGCGGAGCGGCTGGACCCGTGAGCCACGGCCGCTGAGCCTGCGCGTCCGGAGCCTGTGCTCCGCAACGGGAGAGGCCACAGCAGTGAGAGGCCTGCGTACCGCAAAAAACAAACAAACAAAAATGTTGTATATCTGTACAATGGAATATGATTTAGCAATAAAATGAAGTGATGATATACACTGCAACATGGATGATCCTTGAAAACCTTATGTTAAGTGAAATAAGACAGTCACAAAAGACCATAAATTATATGATTCCATTTGTATGAAATATAGGTTAGTGGTTGCCTAGGGCTAGAAAATGGGGTTGGGATGGGGAGTGACTGCTAATGGGTATGAGTTTCTTTTTGGAGGTGATGAAAATGTTCTAAAATTAGATTGTGGTGATGGTTGCACAACTCTGAATATACAAAAGTCCACTGAAATGTACAGTTTAAACAGGTGAATTTTATGGCATGTGAATTATATCTCAATAAAGCTGTTAAAAAAAACTCAGAGGGCTTCCCTGGTGGCGCAGTGGTTAAGAATCCGCCTGCCAATGCAGGAGACACGGGTTCGAGCCCTGGTCTGGGAAGAGCCCACATGCGGCAGAGCAACTAAGCCCGTGTGCCACAACTACTAAGCCTGAGTGCCTAGAGCCGTGCTCCACAACAAGAGAAGCCACTGCAATGAGAAGCCTGCGCACCACCACGAAGAGTAGCCCCTGCTTGTTGCAACTAGAGAAAGCCTGCGTGCAGCAACAAAGACCCAACACAGCCAAAAATAAATAAATTAAATAAATAAATTTAAAAAACAAAAAATAAAAAACCTCAGACTGTACACCTAAAAAAAGATAGAGGAGGCAAAAGAACCTTTAAAAATAGTCTTAAGAAGGATAAATCTCAAAGTTCAAACATAGAACAAAAAGGGCACTTTTAAATACATTCAGAACAAAAAGCTGAATGAGGAAGAAATAGGTCTCTGCCCTGTGCCAGCAGTATAATAATGATAAATGACAAAGAGGTAAAATTCCTCAATTACTATTTCTGCTTCTGCCTTCTCAGTTCCCAAGAGGGAACTGAAGCCCAATATGAGTAAAGAATCATTGTAGTAAGGTAGTAAGCAAGAACTCAGCTACTTTAATAAGAGTTCAAATGTCTTGGACCAGATGAATTATAGCTGAGGGAACTGAGAGTAATTTCAAACAAGAACACTGAAGCTATGTCAGTGATATTTGAGGAATCACAGAGAAGGATGTTCCGGAAGACTGGGCAGATGTAATTTCAATTTTCGAAAAAAGAGAGGTAAGTTAATTCCATAAATTACACACCAGTCAGTTTGATATAAGTCTTCTAGATTATTATAGAGATGGCTGGCAAGAACCTAGAAATGGAAGAATAAGCACTAGAAGCCAGCTTGAATTCACTTAGAAAAAGTCAATTTAGGCTAATCTTTCTTTCTTTTTTGTACTGTTACTAAGCTGGTAGCTATGAAAAATATGGTAGACATATAGTATATCTGGACATTAGCAAGGCATTTGAAAAAATCTTTTATGAGATCCTTAAGTACAAAATTGAGAAATGGGAGCTGGTTGTTAATTTTTGTTAGCTAGATTAATAACTGCTTGAAAGACCATTCCCAAAGCATGCAGATTACCAGGTCATTATCATGCTAGACGCAGGTTTCTAATAGTGTATACCATGGGGTTCTCCTAGCCTTAGGAGCTTCATCATTTATATCCAACCACTTAAATGAAGATATGGAAACCATGCTGATGAGGTTTATAAGTGACAACATCTGGGAAGGATAGTGAATACTTGGGATGACAGAATCAGGATATTGATTTTAATTATAAGTAGTTGGGAGTAACAAAACAAAACAAAAACTAAAACTTGCCTGGGCCAGATGAAATCAAACCAAGGACCAGATCCAAATCTCACACCTAAATTAGAAAATGAGTGCAAGGGAGAGAAACAATTTTTCACTGTTTCTGAAATCAGCCTCAAACTTGAATTGTAGTTACTGTTAGAATGTGACCTGAAATATTCCGGTCAAGACACCAACAACAGCAGTAAGAGTACTAGAAGTTTTTATCTATGACTGTAGCCTTAATTATTCTCACCCTCTTTTAGACGATCCCCTTCGGCCTTGGTTTTCTTCTGTCTTTCTGATCCAGCAAGGTCTACAAGATGCAGCTTGGAGCGAAAGCTGCTATTCCTGTGATGATAACAGGACACAAGTGAGAATGGTACACAAGCTTGAGGGTAGGTGAGTATCAAAGCTCACCTGCCAGTTCTCATTTCTTTCACATCAGTCCAAATGGCTCCATTCATTACTCATGCTCAGAGTACTGATGTCTGGTTATTTTTCAAATCAAGAAGCAAGCTATTATTCAACTTTAGTATAACTAATGTTAAAAATCTTGACTCTTACTTGTAACTTGAACTTACTTGTCACTTTTCTTTCTTTGCTCTATGGAGATTGTAAAGATAGCATGAGATCGGGATGACTGGGAGTTCATAGCTGTGGAGGCCACAGTCCTACAGTTGTTGCCCTGCTCCAAACAGGAAACAGTATCCAGGGCGACTAAAACAGTCTTCTCAGTGAGTCCCACAATCTAATTCAGAGAAAGAAAAAACTCTCTTATGATTCGACTTCAAATACTTCATCAGAAATATAAGGATTGGTGGTTTAAAAAATAATGCCTTGATGTTCCAGTAGAACCTCAATAAATAGTCACAGTAATAAGGGCTGGGTTGTTTTAAAAATTTATTTTATTTATTTTTGGCTACGTTGGGTCTTCATTGCTGTGTGTGGGCTTTCTCTAGCTGTGGTGAGTGGGGGCTACTCTTCGTTGCGGTGCATGGGCTTCTCGTTGCGGTGGCTTCTCTTGTTGTGGAGCACGGGCTCTAGGTGTGTGGGCTTCAGTAGTTGTGGCTCACAGGCTCTAGAGCGCAGGCTCAGTAGTTGTGGCGCACGGGCTTAGTTGCTCCATGGCATGTGGGATCTTCCTGGACCAGGGCTCAAACTCATGTCCCCTGCACTGGCAGCTGGATTCTTAACCACTGTGCCACCAGGGAAGTCCCATAAGGACAGTTTTAACTAGCAACTCTGTGATCACTGCAAACCAAGGTCTCCAGTCTTCGCTGGGTACCTCCAAAACAAGGATGCCAGTCAATACTAGAGCTACAAAAGACCTCTAGATTTTATGGTAGCAATGGATATGTGCCTTCCAGGGAGCCCCAAGTGAAGGTAAGTTTTGGCCCTAAGGACAGCAAGGGCAACACAAATAGCTATGGTTATTTCTCTTTGTTACATTCTCCTCCATGTGGCCCTGTGTTCCTCCCTATATCTTGGACCCATTTTATACCTCATACTCACTAGGGAAAATAGCATGGTACAATTTCCACTGGATTAGGAAGCCAGGAAAACAGGGTCCTAGGCTTGGTACTGTATCTACCCAGGAGAATTTGTACAAGTTAAAATTTCCTGGAGCCTCTGGAGATTGAACTAGATGATTACGAAGTCCCTTCTAGCCTCAATATGCTATGATTTTATTACCCCATAGCTCCCAAATCTATATCTGTGGCCCTAATTTCTAGTCCTATACTTCAAATTGCCTGCTACTTACACTTTGACATCAGTAAATTATGAAACCAAACTCATCTTCCTTCCACCAATACTGATTCTCTCCACTACTTCTTCGTTTCTACTAAGATCGCTATTCTCAAAACCTCAGATTCGCCTTTAATTCCTGCTATTCCCCCATATCTCACCTATCACCAACTCCCAGTCATTCTTCTTTTGAATCCATTGTTTCCTTTTCCTTTCCACATCTACCTGCCTAATCCAGGCCCATATTACTTCTCGCCTGAAAAATAAGGCAACATTTCCCTAAATTTTCCTTCCTCATCCTAGTTTTTCTCCTTTTCAATCCATTCTTGTTTAGCCTTCCGAAAGTCCTGCTTCCTAAAATGTCACCAAACTCCTAAGCCCTATGCTAGATAATGAGGGTACAAAGAGATTTTAAGATACTCTCCTAACCTCCCGGGAGCTAACCTAGTCGGAGATATACACGTAAGATAAAAACTTGGTAAAAGTAGCCAGTGCAATCCTTCATTTGGAAGTATTAAGTAGCTTACATACTATTCACAGGGATAGAAACTAAGCTCTTTAGCCTGGCTTCATAATCTGGTCCTAACATACCTCCTATTACTTCCCAACCCATATCCTCTAATGCAGACAGACCGATCTAGTCTTATTACCCCCAGGAATATATTTTCTGCTTTCCTGCTTAAGCTATTCCTTACTACAAGAATAACCTTACTTCTTTACTTACTTATATTCCATCCATCCCAACTGAAGAGTGCTCACAAACTTGTCCTTACCCTTCCCAATTTGAGTCAGAAACTTAACACTTCTCTGTATTGCAAACTTTCCCTCAAATAGTGCTTGGGATTTAATTCCTGCCTTGGTATAGGACATATAAAAGATCTTAGTACTGGGTCAAGAGCCGGCTCAGTACCAACATTCTTTCTGGTGACAGCATGCATTTTACCCAGGTTTCTTATCCCCACTATCCAAACTGTCTTTCTGTAACCCACGCTTATCAGGCTTTCAAAATAAGTCTGATTCTTCAAGCCTTGCTTTAGTGCCTGGCTAATGACCTAACGACCCAGAAGGAAAAATATTTCTGTAGCATAGGCATCTGCCCCTCAAGCACCTGCACCCTAAATTTCAGCTTTCTCTGCAGGGAAGAGAAGAAGGAGAGAAAGATGGATAAAGTATTATTTTACCGAGTTTTCCTAAGTCTGTACTACCCTATTCTCATCTACTTCCCACCTCAAATTCTCCCACTCCTGAATACTCAAGCTGCTGCTAGAACCAAGCTCTGCCTGTTTTCAACACTGGCTCCTGGATTTGGTCCACTCCCATATACAATACTCCCAACCTTGCCTCAAACTTTGTTCAGCTACAGCTCCTCAGCCTACATCTATACCATGTGATGGAAGCCTCTCAAATAAGCGATCTCTTCTTCCTATGGTACTTATAAATTTAAAATTTTTGTATCGTCTTACTTTCTAAATATCATTCCAGAGATCTAGCACAATGTCTATTACATTGTTGTCTAACAGAATTTACTATGACCATGTTTTATATCTATGCTATCCAATACAGTAGCCATTAGTCACGTAGCTATTGAGCACTTGATATGTGGCTGGTAACTGAGGGACTGAATTTCAAATTATATTCAATTTTAGTTCATTTAAGTTTAAATAGCCATTTGTGGCTAGTGGCTACCATACTGGACAGCCCGGCCTCAGAACTCTGTAAATAGCCAATAAATATTTAATTGATATTAGCATTCCTTCAAGAGGTAATAGGAAGGTGATAAAACTTCTTTCCCCACAAAAGTTCCCATCTAGGAATTCTAGGTTAACAAAGGGAATTAGGACCACACAAAATCTGAAGGACTGAGATGTTAGTAGTGATTTAAAACCACAGTGGCAAATAAAAGGAATGTGAACTTTAGTAGTGGCCAACATTTTAAAATAACATCAAATGAGAGAAAAACACACCTTTATGCCTTCCTTAGGATCCTCCCGTATATTTATTTGAGGGGCTTTCTCACGAGATGGGCACAGAAGATCCAAGATTTCTTCATTGTAAATCTGGTATTGTTGAAAACAAAGTGGTAAAAACAAGATGTTAACAGTGGTAATTGAGGAGTGGTGGGACCACAGGTAATTTTTAAAATTCTTTATGACTTTCTGTATTAAAAAATTTTTTGCAACAAACATACTATTTTTATAATTAAGAAAAGGATTTTAACACTACATGTAACCATTTGATACTCATAGGAATAAATTCACATATTACTTGTAACAAAATTGAGACTGCTCTCTTGAGAGAGTGTTTCTCAGGAATAGCAGACACGATGAAAGCTACATGGGTGCCCAAATTCAGTTCTTTGATGGTGTCATGACAACATCACCTTCACCAATTTTGTTAAAATGTAAGCAATGGGTCCTTAGTGGAGGGTGGAAGTGGGAAGCAAAAGGGAGAGGTAGCAACCAATATTTCAACAACAACCAGAACTTTAAGTACTAAAACAGTGTTTGCACATAGTAAGCACCACATTTGTTTGCTATTATTGCTGTTGCTACTATTTAATATAGCAGGTTCCTAAGTTATTTTTACATTTGGTCACCTTGGCCACAACTGGGTTAATCAAGAGTTTCAAGAAGGTTAATCTTAATGATGTTTAACTCCCCATCTTCCACCTCTATACCTCCTATACCAACTAACATATTGAGATTCAACTTCAGGATGAAGTATTCACATACTATTTATAATTGCATGTTTAAATTATATACATTTAATTATTGCTCCTTAAAGATAAGACATCTTATCACTGCTATGGAATCAACCAGCTAGTTTCCCAGAAGCCATAAGTTCCCTAACTATGTGTTTCTGGTGTCATGAGGTTAGATATAACTGGTCAGTCTACTTGTATACTGATATATAATTGAATGAAAATACCCACAAAGGCAGGGACTTCTATCTGTTTTGTTCACTGATATATCCCAAATACCTAGAACAGGGCCTGTAACATGTAGGTACTCAATAAATATCTGTTGAATAAACACTCTGTCATCACTTACACAGCTCAATACTTCACCCAATTTTTATAACATTCTTCATGGAGTAGCAACATTATCACTCAAGCCTCGAAACACTAAAGGGATATCAAATATTTTTCTACAGACTCTACAGGGAATCAATAATAGAGGCCAAACTGGAATTAAAGGATTCCTATTATCTTTTTATATGGGAATGCCAACTCCTCTAACAATCGGATTAAACAGACTATTCTGACAACAGGGAAAGAACTGGGTGGGAGCCAGATCCAACTGAGCCAGTGAGTTTTCTCTATCAATTTATTAAAATGCAATTTATTCATTTGAGTCATGCCAGGAAAAACCTGATTTGTATTTATTTTTCTACCCAAAGATAAATTTGAATTCAGAATAATTAAAGATAAATCATTTACCTCCAAGTATGATACTTTCAGAGTAAATTCGAAGTCACTCTTTTTATCAATTTCTTGGAAGAGCAGCTGTATTACTCTAGGAATGACCCCAACTGTTGGTTCATTTTCTTGCTCTGCAGTATATGCACCTCCCATCGAATAGGTTTTTCCAGAGCCAGTTTGCCCATAGGCCAGGACGGTTGCATTGTATCCTGACAAAATAGAAGTCACATGTGCGGTGATGCTCAAATATTTTCAACCAATCAGTACACTCTACTTCCTTCAGCAATTACTTGTAACAAAATTGAGACTGCTCTCTAAACACAAGGGTCTCTTAGGAATGTCAGACACAAAGAAAAGTTATATGAGTGCCATGACTTTGCACTACTCCAAATAAGCAAAGAAGAAAAATATCAAACCTGAATGTGTGCCTCTCTTGATAGCCCTTAAAAGCTAGGAAGTAAAACACTTAAAGATATGACTGAGATAATGAAGGTGGCCAAGTCACTGTCTAAAAGCCATTCAGAGTTTTATAATTCTACTTTCTCTCTACTTGGAACAATTCTAAATTAGGGCAATTAAATGAAAGTTTTAGAAGCTGCAAATAGAAGGGATTCCAACCTGTATTTCTTCGATTAACAGAGTCTTCATTTGAAAAGGCAACAAAGTTGCTTTTTACAGTCAAAGAAAGCATCCCTCCCTATATGAATTCTCAGACTGCATTTGGACCGTATTATCAGGCTCCTCATAGAAATGTCATCATTTAAGTATGATTCAATGTGATATATGTCCTTTGCTTTTTTTTCTTTTTGAAAGAACTTATTCACCTAAATGAAGACCTTGATGTTCTGGAAGATCTTAAGATGTTAAATTGAGATTTTCACTGTAATAGATTGCTAATATCACCTGGCATGACTCTGGGACAAGAGAATAATATTCCATAATCTTCTGTAATACCACAGATATGTATATATAGTAATAAGTGGGGAAACCAAGTTTCAGTACTTTTTACAAAAACTCAGGGTGCTGTTGACCTGACTGAAAAATACTGGCTTTATCTCTGCAAATGAGAGCAATGTTAACAAAACACATAGATATTGGAATCACTTTCTACTTTATACTGCCTCTAAAGACTATAATTCTCATAGTTTCCCAAGTTAAGAATACTAAAGTAGAACTATAGTGTTCTTACTAAGCTGTGAAAGGTACATTCTGAGGAAGATAACAAGATAATGAAGGGTCTGGATACCATATTTTTTTTTAGGAATGGCTAAAGGAAAGGAGGGATGGTTAATTAGAAGAGACTTAGAATCAAATAATGGTCCTCCAAATATGTAAATAGGAAAAAGATTAACTTTAGAGTGGAAAAGTCTGGCAGACATCACCTTAATCAAATGATCAAAATGAACATCAATAGTAATGGAACAAATCAAAATTGTGTGCTGCCTGACAGAATTCAATGAGAAGAATACAGCATCACTTCTGTGATATTCCTGCTAAAGATATATTGATACAACCTGAATCTAATCATAAACTTCAGACAAAACAAAATTGAAAAACAGTTTACAAAATAACTGGCCTGTGATCTTCAAAAGTGTCATGATCATGAAAGTCAAAAGAAGACTGAAGGAGTTTTATAATAAAGGAGACTATAGAAGTAGTACAACTAAACGTAACATACGATTTTGAACTAGATCCTTTTGCAACAAAGGACATTATTGGAACAACTGGTGAAACTTGAATGAGGTCTGAGGACCAGATGGTAGTGAGGTAGCAATGCTAATTTCATGATTTTGATGGTCGTATTGTAGTTACATAGGACAGTGGGACAGAAGTTCTTGTTTGTAGCAAATATACACTGAAGTATTCGGGGGCCATCAGGTCAACAACTCAAGTCAAATGGTTCAGGAAAAAAAAGGTCTTTATGCTGTTCTCGCAACATTTCTGTAAGTTTGAGATTACTGCTTTAATAATTTAAAAATTTGAAACAAAGTATTCAATGTGTCCTGAGCCATGACATCATTTTAAGAAGTGAAAAAAAAATGTGAATAGCTGTTGCTCGGAAGAAGGCTTCTGTTTGTCTAGAGGGATGAACTAACATCATTGGGCAGAAATTATGGGGAAGCAAATTTCATCTCAATATAATCTAAAACAATTAGAGTTGTCCAAAACCAATCAACAGGACTACCCTATGAGCCAGTGATATCCCTGTCAAAGAAAAAAATTTTAACCAGATGCTGGAAGTTCACTTAGAGATATTGCTAGAAAGTATTTTTCTTTGGATGGAAAGTTAGACTAGATGATGTACAAATATCCCTTTCAACTTTAAGGGACTAGTATGCCATGGTTCTACTTCTTTTAAATAGCCCTCTGCTTTGAATCCTGAATAACCACTGTACTAGAATAACAACTAGACACCTCTCAGGCACTGCTCCCTTCTTCAGAACTTTGCCATAGTCTTCAATAACACTAAAGCCTTAGCTTCTGTAATCAAGATTATTAACTGGCCAGGGTATTCGGGGGCTTTAGGAAATCTCAAAGGTTTTAACTTTTAAAATACTTTTTCTTAAAGATAGGAGCAAAAAGTTTAATATTTCTAATGTATTTAAAAGTATGAGGACTTCCTTCGTGGTCCACTGGCTAAGACTCCACGCTCCCAATGCAGGGGGCCCTGGTTCGATCCCTGGTCAGGGAACTAGATCCCACATGCTGCAGCTAAGAGTTCGCATGCTGCAACGAAGATCCTGCACGCAGCAATGAAAATCCCGTGTGCTGCAACTAAGACCTGACGCAGCCAAATAAATAAATAAATAAATTTAAAATTCACAAAAGAAAAAACACAAGTGATAAATGTCAATAAAATATAAAAAGATTTTTTAAAAAGTATGTATGTAGTCATCTATTTCCACTCCTACCCCTGAACTTTGAACTCTTCCAGGGCCCAGAAGCTAAGTTGTTTATCTCTGAATCCCTCAACAGGCTTTGCAGTGCCTGGGCCTCAAGTAGATCCTCATCAGCACCCATCAAACAGCTTAGAATCTAATGAGGTTCCAGAACGAACAAACAGAAACATATACAAGTCAAAGATGAGCAAAACCATAGAAAGCAAATATAGTATAAAACTAGTTTCAAGGGTACAAGTGATATTGGGTTAGTTCTTAGGCTGTGGGCTTTTTGAAGGCAGGACTCATGCTTCATCCATTCCTGTATTGGCAGCACGCAATCACAGTGCCTAACACAGTGTATGCTCAAGAACCGTTTGAAGAATCAAACAGCCTCACCTTTAAATACGCCTTTTATGAGTGGTGCTACTGCTGTATTGAATACTTCCTCCTGTTCAGTAGAAGGGTCAAACACAAAATCGTAGGTAAAGGATTTGTCAGTACCAACCACCACCTAGAGAAGGCAAGGGACAAGGAGTAAGAAAAAAAATGAAAGGCCAGACCACGCCCCTCACTGCCATTTGGCCCCAGCTCTTCAGAGGCAGGCCCAGGACTCGCTACGCACCTGAGGTTCCTCGGGTACGAAGGAAAGGCACATCTGGCAGCCCTCATTAATCTCTTTGGGGACCAGAGGGCGACATCGCAGTGCCACTCTTACAGGAATGCCCTTCACCTCTTCCTTCATGATCCTACCTCGGCACCGTCTCTGCGGAGCGGGGGGGGGGGGGGGAGATGATCGCTGATTAAGTTTGGTAGGTTGGCAGGGGTGGGAAGGCGTTCTTCCTCAGTTCCGGCCTTTCTCGGAGGGTGTAGTGGGTTAGGGAAGTCAGCGGTAGCTTACGGTGGCAGCCTCCCGCTCCCAGCGGGATCGCTGCCTCGGGAAAGTCACTGTCCCTCAGACTTTGCCACGACAGGGCTGCCAGTCAGCCGACCCTCTAAAGAGAGCGAAGTGGCGTCTGAAATGAAAAGGAGAAGCCCAGCGGAGACGACAACAAAGAACCAAAGCCCCAGGGTACCAGGAAAGGCAGATCCTGAGCTAAGGTGTGCCCCCTTAACTCACCAAACTACACGTCCCTTCCCCAGTCTCCCGCCGTCCTGTCCCAACCGCAGCTTTAACCGCCAAGTTTCAAACCTCTCTCGGAGGCGCCAGCCAATTGGAGCGCAGACAGACTGTGCGTGGAGCACGCACGCGGCGCGCGCAGGAAGACGCGTTGGGGAGAAGGAGGGCCTGCGCGCCGCACCCTGACCCCGCCCCTTTTCCTCAGATGAGCATCCGCTTCCGGGTCCCAGGCTGAATTGATGGTGAGAGGAGTACGGGGCGCCTTAGGCCTGCCAGCGGGAGAGGTTGTACGAAGATTTTTACAGCGCCGTGGGCGCAGGACTCAGGCACGATGCGGGACGGGTATCTGGAAGGTGTCTGGTGGTAAAGGAAGGGCCGATCTGGGGACCCCCACCATTACTGATCCAATTAGGGAATGTGGGGTGGTACCATGCCCCGAGTCCCTGTGGGTAGTTGGAGTCAGCACTCCCTTGAATTTCCAAAGAAGTCAGATCTTTTTAGACGCGTTCCTGATTTCCTCTTCTCTAGAATGAAGACGGTACATCTATTTTGCAGGATTGTTGTGAGAAAAGAGATCGTTTCTATAGTGTACCTAACAGGTTGCTTGGAGTCCAGATATTCAGCCAAGTTGATAGTTTTCTTCCTTCTCTCCCAAAATGTTTATCACCTTCCTAGAAGTGGGTCGGGCCTAGAGACTGACAGCCTTGGAATGGGTTGGGGTTGTTTTCTGAAACTCGCTGGGCTGCTATCCCTTTTGAACCATTTTCGTCAGCTTTGATTCACCCTTCCATTTCAGGGCCTTGCTGGAGATGGACAGCCGGATTCCTTATGATGACTACCCGGTGGTTTTCCTGCCTGCCTATGAGAATCCCCCAGCATGGATTCCTCCTCATGAGGTGGGAACCATCTGTACAAGGGATTTTTTTTCCCCATAGGCAAGGGATGATATATGAAAGGTAGGATGGCAGGGTTAGAAAGCTCAATGGAGAGTGAATCTTAGCCAGAAGTTAGATTCTGAGCAACTGGGCCCATTGGGAACTTCTTATGGAATCCTCCTGCCAGAGTCCACTTACACCAGAGAATTCTGGAAATTCAGAGCCCTGATTTCCATTTTGTCGAGGTAAAGAAGTGGGGAGCTACTGGGTGGCTAGCATTTCCCCACTGCTATCCGTCTACCTATTCGGACAGTGTTATCTGTTCTACTTAAACTAAGTCCATGACTTCACCTTCTCCTGGCTTCAGGGTGATGCAGTTGTGTCCTAGATGAAGGTAGTAAGACTGGTAGTAATATTTCTGGGGTTGCTGTGTCTTGCAGAGGGTATACCACCCAGACTACAACAATGAGTTGACCCAGTTTCTGCCCCGTATCATCACACTGAAGAAGCCCCCTGGAGCTCAGGTGAGCTTATGGAACAGTTGCCTCTTATTCCAGGCGAGATTTGTCCATACCAGGCCCTGAAGTTGGCCACGGTTGGGGGGACGGATTGGGAAGCAGGTAAGGAGGTAAAGAAACTTACTCTTATGGGCAGAAAAGCTGAGATGCCACTTCCACAACTTCTGACTTCTCTCTAAGGGACACAAGGCAAGCTATCATACAGTGATGCCACTAGATGTTCTTGTGTTTGTGGTCTGTATTGAGCCCCCATTCTGTGCTCTTGTCTTACAGTTGGGATTTAACATCCGAGGAGGAAAGGCCTCCCAGCTAGGCATCTTCATCTCCAAGGTGCGTGTGCCTGGTAGGCAATATGGATAGCTACTTCCCTTTGTTAAGTTATCAGGTTGCAGAACCCTGATGTCCCAAGGCTTGGGGAGAGGGATGATTTAGTAGACTCATAGAAGGGGCATAGTGGGGTTACCCTTGCCCACTTAAAACTTCCCACCTGGCAAGCCACTGTTTCCCTGCATTGTCTCACACACACACACACAACCGATAGTACCTTACATTTGAATAGCACTTAATTCACTTACATTCTTTGAAATTATCCCACCTTGATCATGTATATTCTCTTCTTACCAACAGGTGATTCCGGACTCTGATGCACATCGAGCAGGACTTCAGGAAGGGGACCAAGTCCTAGCTGTGAATGATGTGGATTTCCAAGATATTGAGCACAGCAAGGTGAGCACAGCACCCTGGGCTGTGGTGAGGCAAGAAGCCATCCCAGGTAGGACACAGTGGATAAGATTAGCCTGATGTGTAACTTGATAAGAAAGAATTTCTCCTTGGTAAGAGGGAAGCAGCTCTTAGTGACCTAGAAGGTTGGAATGGCAAACTACATTCCTTCTGTTATGATTCTGTCCTGGGTTGTATCTCTTCATTTGTACAAGCTGCTGTGTTCCTTCCAGGCTGTTGAGATCCTGAAGACAGCTCGAGAAATCAGCATGCGTGTCCGCTTCTTTCCCTATAGTAAGTGCCGCTCTCTTTTTTGCTTACCTGGCGGGGCCTTCGGTAGGAACTCTTTAAATACCAATTACTGGAGGCCCCACAAGTTGGAGATGGGGAGTTGGGAGCTCAGGCTGGAAAATAACCTGCTCTTTTCCTCCTTCTTTCCCCCAGATTATCACCGCCAGAAAGAGAGGACTGTGCACTAGAGAGTTGCAACCCACAGCCCTCCACATGGAATCTTCTAGGACGAGCTAGCTAGGCCTCAGGGAAGCCACTTGGGAAACTCTACCCTCAGCCCCACCCTGGCAGAGTGGAGTAGGGAGGATGGGGAGACAGCGAGGCCCTGTCCTGAGCCAGCTGGCCAACTGCATTATCCCACCTGTACTGCACTTTGAGTTCCCTAGTTTTCTAGGTGGGCTTCACCTAGAAGGATGATGATGTCTAGGTATCGCTTAGCCTGTGGAGAACCCTGCTAGAGAAGGCAACTGACATTTATTGAATACCATGTGCGAGGCAATTCCACATATGTCATGTCATTTTCATTAACGTCTACAAATCTTGGGGGCCTCCCACCTAATCTGCCTAGCCATCTCATCCCATCCTTATGCTACCAGTCATACACTTTGGAGACTCCAGTGGAACCCCATTTTCCCCCACTCCCTCCTTCTATCTTCTCTCTCCAAAAAAGTAAAACACAATGCTGAGGAAATGTTGCTTGATACTGATTTGGATGATACTGATTGGGTGTTAAATGCCTTCGAGATAAAAATAGAAGCTCTTCCAAAGAGAAGAGCCACTAGAAGCAGCAGAGCAACACTATATGTACTTCACAATTATCTCTCTCAGAACATTAGGGAGACCCAGGAAGCTTATCTACAGTATAACTGAGGAATGGTATAGGGTGAGGGGGTACTGGAGGAAACAGTGCCCCTTCCCCCATGAGCTGTGGCCATTTCTCTGCAGGGGGCAGTATTAATATAGTTCTGTCTTCTCTTTTCCCAGATTCTTTCATCGGGAACATAAACTATGGGAGAGGCTTGGATGCATTTCTTTTCAGGGACAGCAGTAAGAAATTGCTTCCCAATTTTCACCTGGTTCGTTGAGTAGTACTGACTGCTGATTTCCCCCTTGTCTTCACCCCAGCCCCCAAATAACCTTCTGCTATGTTCTTAGCAATCCATTGTTAGAGATTCCAGGCCACACCTTATGCCATTTCCATTGGCATGTTCACAATACCCGTTCAGAATAGAAAGTTGTCTAATGAGGTATGGGGCAAAGTTGTACCCCATAATGAAAGTCCCGAATTTGCCTTGAAAGAATCCTGGGAAGCTTCAATATATACTTTGAGGCCCTTGCCCCCATTGAGTGATTCTAATGATCTGAGGTGGAGCCTGGATGTCTGAATTTTTATTTTTCTTTTTTTATTATTTTGTACTTAAAGATCTTTTTATTCAAAGTCACAATACAATTATGTACATCAACTATACCTCGATTTAAAAAATCACAATACAATTAGGAGGCTGCCCCTCTGCACTTTCAGTGCCACTTCTACTCATGTTGCCACAGTTAACCCACTTTGCCACTCTACTCTCTTCTCTCCAAATTTTGCACAAACCAACCAATTTACTAACTCTGCGAAGCAGTAATCACCCAGGGTTTCCATGCTTCTTTTTTGTTTTTAATGGATTTTAAAATAAGGGGAATAAGTCTTCAAATATGGGAAACAGTTCTAAATAGTAGTAACATATCTCTTTGAGGAAGTTCTGGTTCTTCCTATAAATCCCACCCCAGCTCTACTATGGTACCTCTTCTAGAGGCTCGCTGCTATTGTCAGGTGGCAACATCCTAGTGAGCAGAGCTGGAGGTACAATCCATCTAGCTGTCTCTGTGTTTCCTGGGAAATCCCCCCATATAGAATTTATGCTCCTGTTTGCTCTGCTGCCCCCCAGTGGCCATCTGAGTAAGAAGCTAGAGGCTGAGATACTTGCACAAAGGCATATTGGCTGAGTCTACTGAATGTTGAGGTCCAAGACTCTCCCAACTGTCTGTGGTTAAAAGGTTTTAAAACAACTCATCGAAGAAGTGTGGTAAACAGGGTAAAAAGTCCCAGCCAGGTGCCATGGGCCTAAGAGGCAAAAATCCTGCCCTAAATTGGTTTTTTGAGGTATTTAGAATGGTTCTGTGTTGGGGCACCAGCATGATGCAACTGCATTGTGGAGGTGTAGGCAGAGCATGGACAAGGTGCAAACAATAAGAGGCTGAGGTGAAAGGACCAGTCATTTATTGAGGGTGAGATAAGAAAACAGTGGAGAAGGAACTGTATCAATCTTTGAGGTATCCCAGCTGCTGTAGAACTGCATCCCCTATAGATGTGTTTTAGCAGTCAGAGACGGCCAGGTGGAATTCCTGGACTCTGTCAGAACTTTCCACCCTGTAACTGTGAGAAGTGGTCAAGAGAAAGTGATAGCATTTTCAGGGGTTCCGTTTTACTCCTAAGCCTAGGAATTGAACAAGAGCTTAGTAAGTGGCCAAGTATTTAAACCATAAACATGAGGTTGGGGGAGAAGGACTGGTACTGGGAAGCCCAAATGCAGTAAGTTGATCATGTTAGGCAGAGAGATAACCTAAACTATCAACAGGAACAATGGTTTTTGATGCCTGACTCATTGGAGGGTTCCAGTTGGATTTCAGCACTGAAGTGTGTGGTAAGGAAGGAAGGTAATAAAGTGGCTAGGGTCAAATCTCAACTCCCAGGGGCATCTTCTAGGACATACAGAAAAGGAATTTTTATCTTATGATCCCTTTCACCTAAAGGCAAACCAGGGAGCTGCTTTGGGCTGAAGTTAGTCCCATTTTCCCTTCAGTATCAGTCAGGCAGAAAAATTGGCCTGGCCATCAACTCAGCAAAGGAAGTTTGCCTTCTCTGCTTGTACCCTCCCTACCCCAGCAAAGCTAGGAGAAAGGATACTCTCGTCTTCCTTCAGTGGAGAGGAATTACCTCTGGAAGTGAGGGCAGAAGCCATGCTATGGAATAGCCCTGTGTGTGTGTGTGTGCAAAAGAAAGAGAAAAGGTCAGGTTTAGAGATATGATTCCAGGCCTTTGCACTGCATGATGGGGAGATGAACCTTACCCCCACCCCCACGATAGGACAAGCCAAGGTTATCCAAAAGAATAAGCAGTGGTGAATTTGGCACTGTTCTCAATAAACATCACATTGAGGTCTCTGGATTTTTCTTCTGCCTCCTCGGTAGAGACTTGTCTGGACAAATGAGAAATGATACAAGGGACCAGATAGTGGTAAGACCCCCTTCTGACCCAGAGTTAGTGGATAGGGATAGATCCTTCTGAGGCGTAAAGATGCATCCCTCGGACCAGGAGCCCTCGAAGCCCTGAACCCATGACCTTTCTGATCCCTGACACAGGTAACTCCTCCCAAGTAAATAGAGCACAGTAGACCCTCCCCATTGGGATTGAGCTCTAGGTATGCCAGAAGCAGTTGCAGTTATACCTTTCCTTTTGTTGTTCAGATCAATCTTGTTACCCACCAACATGATGATGACATACTCTGCCCGTACATCTTCTACCCACTTATCTGTTTCCTTGAAAAAGTTGATGTCTACAGGACAATGTGTTGCAGAGAGTTGAAACATTTAGTAGAGATTTGGAGAAAATAACATACCTGTCTTTCTCCTAGTCTTTTTTTTTTTTCTTATGCTCTAATGCTTGTATTTTTTAATCCTCTCTGCTAGTCTTACCAACCTCTCTATTGCTTCCCTCAATCCCCTTTTCAAGTAAAACATGGCATAACTCCCACTTGTGATGTCATAGACAACCACAGCAATAGTTGAATCATGAATGTTGCTAGAATTAGGCTGCAAAAGTTCTCCTGGCCAGCTGCATTCCATAGCTGCAGCTGAACCTGCATAAAACAAATGTTTAGAAAGAAGGTGGAGAAAGATAGAAAAGAAACTAGCTTTTTAAAGGCTAGAACTTAATAAAGGCATAAAAAGAGTCAAGGGAATTGGGTTCCTGAAAAGTGGCTGCTATGGCCACAAACCAAGTGCCTACCATCCTAGGACAGGTCCGATCTCAATACACTATTTTGATTAAGGAAGACCCTACAGAGCAGCAGATTTAAGGATTCAAGGCTACTTGGACTTTGTTACAGCTGGAGATTAGATGAGGGCAGACAGAATAAGAAACAGCACAGGATTTGGTAGTTTGGGGAGGTTTCACATTTTATTTCTCCTTTATCCACAGGTAATGTGGGGTGGTGCTACCCTACTGTGATGAATAGGCCTAAGTGATTGAGGTACCGGATTAGTGGCATGAGAGTGAACACTCACTATTCAGTCCTCTAAGTACATGATCTTAGAAAGTCAATTCCAAAGGTCTCCTGCAAACCCCTCCTCTACCCGCAAATACCAGGCAGTGTTAGACCCAGAAGTGGAGAATAGCGCTTGAAAAGTGTCCTGGCTCAGCTTTTCAACGCTTACAATAGATAACTTTGAGGAGAAGAATCCCTGGGTAAGTTGACCAAAGAAGGGGGCAAAATGTACTGTGTGATGCCTTGGCGGTGGGCTCACCCAGCAGGCGCCTTCGAAGCTGTTGTACATAAAGTGGGTGATGATAAGTAGGTCAAGTGTCACCCTAGGTGAGGAGGAAGTTGATTCCCCAGAGAACCCCCTGTTCCATTCCATACCATCACACCTTCCTGTTCCCAAAGCCCAACCCAGACCCCCGCTGCTCTGACCCCCAAGGATTGCAGTGTTTGGATTTGCGCAGAGACTGGTGCTTGGGTGCCTCGGCTGTGGGCCTTGTGGTGTGCTGTATGCTTGGCAGGTGGGTGGTACTTGCTTCCTGGGGCCACATGGCACTCTGTCCAACCATCAGCGTCGCCCTCAGGGCTGGTCTCAGGGCTGTGTCCCCTCAGGCGCTGCCCGCAGCTCCGAGGTGGGAGTGGGATAGTTGGGTGTGGGGGCAGAGGTGACCAGGGCTCAGAAGGAAAGTTGAAGGACTCAGGGGTAGGTGGCCTTGCCAGAGGGAAGTCAGGGTTGTTTAGAGGAAAAGCACGTGCTGCAGGAGATCTAATCACTGATGTGGGGTGGCGGGTGGGGAGGTGGCTTATTCTAGGTAGTTCCATTACCCTCCTGCGGGAAGAGGAGATACCAAAGCGATCAGCGGGCACATCTGGACAAGCTGATTTATTAGAGTGTTACAGTGGGGCTTCCACACAGAGGCACCCGAGCCAGGCACTCAGGTGCCCTCATCCCCCTCAGCCGCCAAAGCCTCCTGGCTCTCCTCTCTGCCGGGCTGCTGCTGAGCGAACTCCTCGATGACTATGTCCTCAGAGCTTGCAGAAGCAGCAGAGGGAAATGGAGGGTTAGGAACAGCTGTCTGAGCGTCTTCCACATCCACTCCCGTTTCCTGATCCCAGAGAAGTGATCCCTTCCCTGTTTCCCAACTCCGATCCTCACCGCCTCTCAGCTGCCCCCGCCCCACTTGGATCACACTGGCTTGTTTCCTTTGTGTCCTCCCCAGTCTGCCAACACAAAAGCCCCCATGAGGGCCAGAGGGAAAATAAGAATGGAGGGTGGGAAGGAGGGAAGGGATGGGAGAATGAAAGACGGGAGAAGTTAGGGTGAGGAGGCGCTGGGGGAAGGAAAAAGAAAACTGGAAGGGATGAGGGGGAAGGACGATTGGGAGAAGAGCAGGAGGTGGAGGGCGGGGGACGCAAAAAGGGAAAGAGGGGGGCGTATGAAAAGCACTGAACTATGACACGAAGCTAAACCATATGTTTCCACTGCACACCTATTGAAAGCAACACTCCAGGGAAGCTTTTTTCCATTTCCATCGTCATAAAATGGAGAGTGGCAGTGGGGAAAGGGGGGCGAGGTTTCCAGGCCTCACATTTTCTTACCTAGCAGCCTCTGTAGCAAGCATGGAGAGGGAAGGAAATATGGATTGAAGCTGATAAGTTCCCTGAAGAAATGTCCTGTTACTCATTCCTCTCCCTTTTTAACCCTCTCCCTCCCATATACACAATACACACACACACACACACAACTTCCCCTGAAAACCTAGACACCCAACCTACCTATTGCTATTCAATCTCTACCCAAACTGCCAGTCCTCGATTCATGAGATCAGAACTGCTTGGTCCCCAACCCCTGGGACCACTGTTCCTGTGAGTCCCACCTGGTCACTCACCGTTCGATGGCTTTGGATGCATCAGGATCAAGGGCAACTCCACGCCAACATCACTGCAAGGATCCCAAGGTAGAGTTACAGATTTCCCTCCAAGGCCACTCCCTGAACCTCTCCCTCAATTTTTCAGTCCTGGGATGCCCTTAGATTCTCCTGTGTCATTCTTTTGGTCTCCTGATCGCATCCTCCCCTTCTTGCCCCAGTTCCCCCTCCCCACAGTGTCTTACCTGGCTGTCAGGTCACCTAGGATGCTGAGGGTAGAATGACACCCTAAAATTAGCAGCTGGAAATGGTTAGTAGCAACCTAATTTTGCAGGGGAATGAAGGATTGTAAGGCCAACTCAACCACAGAATGGGTTTCTGGAAGGGAAGGTGGCTTGTTCGTGGAGCTCACAGGTTTGGGAAACTGGTCCAGGAGAAGGGGTGGGGAATAGCTTGAGTGGGTCAGTCCAACTGGGAGGAAAACAGAAGTGGCTCCCCAGCCCCTGCCCAGACAGACCCTGCACTCTTACTCACCCTCCACAGGACACCATCAGGTTGACTCTGACTTTGTAGGACACCAGGATCCCCAGCAGTTCCTTGTCCATTCCTGGTCGAAGACTGGAGGTGGTAGTATTCATTGTTGTGTGTTTGGAGGGGAGGGGCTGGGGGTTAATTCATTCAGTGCACCTTTTGTCATCTGACAGGGCTCCCAGGCTCTGATCTCCTACTCATTGGGACCACACTTCTGTTCCTCAGATCCAGTTTTACCAGGTCACCCTCTGCTCAGGAGCCTACCTCTCTGAATATGACTACTACACTGCTTGGCTTTCATGACCCTTAACAATCTAACCTTCCTGCCCTAACTCCCTAACACCTGGGATACAACCTAAGTGGACCCATGCTCTCTCCATCATCAGAACGTGCCATGCAGATTCCTACCTTCTAGCCTTTGCACAGGCTATGTTCCCAACCCGGAACACTCTTTTCTTCCTCTGTTGCTATCCAGATCCAACACCTTCTTCAAGCTCTAGCTCCTTCTGTCTCCTTTAGGAAGTCCTCTCCAGCTGTGCTGGCTTCTATTAACTTCTATTGGATTTGTAGTCTGAACCACACGTACTAACATTTAACTGTTAGATTGCATTTAAATTCCTCTTTGTTCTCCGTTTAGGCTGTAAATTGGCTGAAGGCAGAGACTGTCTTAAACGTCTTTGTATCCTCCCACATTGCTTAGCATAGGAATAAGCATGTAACAGGTGTTCAATGAAAACCCACTGATTGAAAAATAAGGCACAGAAAACTATATGATCTTGGGAAAGTCTCTTCATTGCCCTGGGATGCTGATCCTCTATCTGTAAAATAATGCTGTTTGTATGATTTCTCAGGCTCTTTCAAGCAATAATAGTCCATAGCAACATGATTGATAAGGCATAGGGAAAGGCAGTGGGAATTGATGCTTGTTAGATGGTGGCAGATGGCTTTTGGTGGGAGATACATCTTACACTAGGGCCTCCAAGTGTTAGGCATAGGACCAAATGAATGATTTGGTAGAATTATATCAATTCCTATCATATTTTTCTTCTTTTTGTCCTCTTTTCTCTCCATTTCTCATCTGTCTTGCATTGAACTTCTATCTTCACTAGAGAGTAGCTGCTGTAGAGATCGCAGTGTTAGAGCCAGATGACCTGTGATAGAATCTTTTCCATCTCTGCCACTTATTAGCTACGCAAGCTTGGACAAGTTCCTTCATCTCTCTGAGCCTCAGGGTCGTTAAGTGTAAAGTAGAATAAGAATACATATCCAGCCTACTTTAATGGGATTCTTATGAAGATAACAGTACCATACGTAAGACCTTTATGAGCTGTGAAATATTATACAACATAAGGAATTTTTCCTTTCCACTTTTTCCTTTCTTGTTGCCTATGACCTAAGCCTGCCGTTGGTCCCATGGGTATTATTTAGCTTACTGTCAGCCCTCTTGCCTGGAGGCAGCTCTGAACACTGACCTAGGGACATTTTTAAAAACAGGTAGGCTTCATTGAAGGTGAAACCTCATAACTGTACATATAGCACACAGAATGGGTTGGGGGTAGAAAATGAAGGTTGGGAGTTACATTTGAGCTTACATCGTGCTAGAGGCCAGATTGGTATCACCATGCTTGAATTTGCCATCCAGTGCCAGGCCCTGTTTCTGGCAGTTGGCAGCCAGGAGTGGGGTTACTGCAAAGCTCTTGGAGAAGGTGGAGTTAGCAGCTATAGTCTCCCTTTCAAAGGAAAAGAAGAGATGAACTTAAGCTAGGCTTGCCAACTAAGTGATTCTCATTCCCAAGAGTTTTTTGCACGATTCCATGAAACTACTGGAGTATCCAAGAGAGCTGGCATGTCTGACTGTGGAGAGTGGGAACAATTCACTCTGGTGGGAAATACTTATGCCTCTGCCCTCTCTCAGGACTTGATGATCCTCTTGTGGTATCCCCCCTCCAGCTCTCTTGAGAATCCCTCCCTCTTTCCACATCAACCCTGACCTTGATGTTCCTCAGTCCTGGGCTCTTCTCCACTTCCTTCTTTCCCCAACCCCCTCCTCTGCCTCCAGACCCCGGCCCTCGTCCCACCACCCTATCCCTTGGCTCTCTGACCCAGGCCCCAGCGCCAGCTCACATGAACTCCTGAACGAACACAGTCTTGGTGTACTTGTCTAGTGAATACAGGATGACATCTGTGATCTGGTCAACTGAAGAGCCGGGAAAAACACATGACTACAATTAGTCAGTCACCCTCGAGACCCCAACTTGCTGCCCTTGTACATGGGCACATTACTCATGATATTCTAAGATGTGCATATGGACAAACAGAGATACGTGTTCTGATAAGCCTGCAATGGAGGGAAAGCCTAGATGAATGCAGACTGGGTAAGTGGGGCAGAGTTCTGGAAAAAGACCTCTGGATTTGGGACCAGGTGCAGGGGGATAGGAAAAGAAGCTCACCTGAAATCTTAATCTTTTTGATGACCTTGTTGGTGCAGTTGTTGATGGAAACGTTGACAGTGATGGATTTGCCGTGGTAGTGAACCTGAAGCAGGAGGAGAGGCCCATTATAAGACTGGAGGGAGAACACCCAGATCAAGACCTAGAATTTGTTTCCTCTGTGCTTTTGTCACCCTGGCTTCCACCCTTGTCTTCCCAAGTAGGAGATCAATGAAGAAAGGGTGTCAGAGGGGTTGCAAGGTAGGGGGCATTAAGTGGGGGTCACAAACCTCCCTGTCCATCCAGGCCTGGAGTTGTAGGGGCTGAGCTGACAGAAGGAAGCGGCGAACAGTCTGGGCCCAGGGGCCAGGGCCTGGCTCCAGGGGTGCAAACTGGATTTTCCGAATCACCAACCGCACAGAGTCTCTAAGTAGAGGCCAAGGGGACAGCCAGAATGTCTCCTTAGGACCCACAGACCTTTCTCATGCTAACCCCATAGCCCAGTCCTTGCTTGGGGAGGGGAGGTGGTGGGAGGTCTCTGTCAGAGAACTCCTCTGGACCCTCAAGGTAGGTATCTAGACCACAGGTCAGCAAACTATGGCTCAGTGGCCAAATCTGGCCTGCTTCCTGTTTCTGTATGGCCTGCAAACTAAGAATGGTTATTACATTTTTTAATGGTTGAAAAGAAATCCACAATAATATTTCATGACATGTGGAAATTATGTAAAATTCAAATTTCAGTGTCCATAAATAAAGCCACGCTCGTTCATTTACGTACTGCCTATGGCTGTTCTCATGCTACAGTGGCACAGCTGAGTAGTTACAACAGAAACTACATTGCTCACAAAGCCTGAATATTTCTTTTTTGGCCTTTTACAGGAAAGTTTGCTGACCCTTGCCCTAGAGCAAAGAAGAGAAGTCAGAGGGAAATCAGAACTGGGCATCTGAGTTGGTGGTGACAGCGCTACAGAGGTTAGAAGTAGGGCTGTTTCTGTCCTGAGAGCAAGATCTGTTTTCTGGCACAGGCCGGAGGCAGGGATTTTGGAGAGGACCAAAGAAATACCTCTTGGAGACTTTCTCCTCCAGGTTTTCAGCACAGAAACTCTTCACTTCAAAGTCAACACCACAAGCCTGCAAAGGGGCAGGAGCAAGAAGAACTCATTTCTGACACTACCCCTCCCTTCCTCATGGGTTTATAAGGAAATGTCTGATCCCGTCCCTTAACTGTCCCTTTCTCTAGTCTTGTCCATTTATCCCCCTGTCCCTCTTTTTCAGAACCCAGACCTCACCTTCCCTGTATCATCAGGACCTGGCTGCAGTGTCACCGAACAGGGCAGGTTGACAACCATCTAAAAGATCAGAAGGAGGTCAGCAAACAGAAGAAACAGGGACCCCTTTCCTCTGTTCTCCTTCTTTAGCTTCCTTTCTTAATCTTCCCTGGAAGCCTTACCCGGGACTTGGGGTCAGTACCTGCAGGGTAAAAGGGTAGGCATTGTCCCCCAGCTTGTGCAGCAGTCGCTCCTGCAGGACTGTGAGGGGCCCCTGGGGGCTGCTATGCTCAGCTGGGACCACTTGCTGGACCTGTACATACAGATCTTTGCGGAACGTCAGACCAATCACATCCAAGTCATCATGGCCATAGCGAAAGGCACACGTCAACATGACAAACACTGCAGGCAAAGGAGGAAGAGAGTGACCTGTCAGACCTGAGGGGGAAAGGAGATCTTAAATAGCTCAGAGGAAGACATGGAGAGACAATGTAATATGATCAAAACAGTATGGCCATAAAGAAAAGGATCAATACATTTGACTATAGTAAAATTTAAAACTTCTTTACATTAAGTGTCTTTATAAATAATGAAACAAGCAAAAGCCTGAGAGGAAATACTTGCAACACATATAACAAACAAAAGTTTAGTGTTCATAATACATAAAGAACTCCCACAAATCAGTAATAAAAATAAAAACAGCCCAATATAAAAGTGTGCAAAGTTTATGAATAGACTCTGCACAGAAGAGCAAAACAGAATGGCCAATAAGGTATGAAAACATGTCCAGTCTAATGATAATCAGATAAGTGCAAATTAAAACCACAGTGAGAGGACTTCCCTGGTGGTCCCGTGGTTAAGGCTCTGCGCTCCCAATGCAGGGGACCTGGGTTCGATTCCTGGTCAGGGAACTAGATCCCACATGCCACAACTAAGAGTTCACGTGGGGCTTCCCTGGTGGCGCAGTGGTTGAGAGTCCGCCTGCCGATACAGGGGACACGGGTTCGTGCCCCGGTCCGGGAAGATCCCACACACCGCAGAGCGGCTGGGCCCGTGACCCATGGCCGCTGAGCCTGCACGTCCGGAGCCTGTGCTCCACAACGGGAGAGGCCACAACAGTGAGAGGCCCGCGTACCGGAAAAAAAAAAAAAAATAGAGTTCACATGCCGCAACTAAAAGATCCTGCATGCTGCAACTAAAAAAAAATCCCGCCTGCCACAACGAAGATCCTGCATGCCGCAACTAAGACCCAGCACAGCCAAATAAATAAATAAATAATTTTTAAAAACCCACAATGTGATAACACTTCACAGCCATCATATTGTCAAAAACTTTAAAGTCTGACAGCACTATGTGTTGAGCAGTGCTCCAGATGTGGAGCAATGTGGTTCATTACACACTGTGGTGGGAATATACATTAGTACAACCACTTTTTTTTTCTGTCAGAGTCCCTAGGTTTATTTATTTATTTTTTACAGAGGGCAATTCAATTAATGAGGAAACCAGTAAGATGTTAAGACTGATACAATAGAAAATTCAAGGACCTAGAGATTTGTAGTTGGTCAAGGGAATGCAGAAAAAAATTTGCTAACAAATCAGTACAGCCACTTTGGAAAACTGTTGGGCATTATCCAGTAAAGCTGAATCTTCTCATATCTTATGATCTAAGACGAATTTAGAGGAAGTCTTGTTCATGTCTATAAGGAGATACCTATGAGAATGTTCATTGCGTCAACATTTGTCATAGCATAAGATTGGAAATGATTTAAATACCTATCAATGGGAGAATGGGTAAACAGTTGTGGTATATTCATATCATGGAATACTAAACTGAGGTTAAAATAAATGAACTAAACTCCATGTATTAACATGGTTAAGTCTCAAAAACTATTGAGTAAAAAATGCTAGCTGCACGATGATATGCACAATCTGATACCATGTACGTAAAGTTGAAAAGCATGTAGAACAGTACCAAAGTCACTCACTGATATATAAATATAGAGTAGAAGTATAGAAACATCATGGGAGTAATAAACATCAAATTCAGGATAGTAATTATCTGCGGTGGAGGCAGGAAGAAAAGGAGGGAGGGAGGAAGGAGTATGGGATTAGGGAAGGATACACAGGAGACTTCAGTTTGATTCTGTAATTCTTTTTAAAGCTAGGTGGTGAGTACAGGGTATTCATTACATAATTCTCTAGGGTCAGAATACTTGGGCTTGAATATGACTTGCATAAGCCCCTCGAGTTGTCTGAGCCTCAGTTATTTCACCTGTCAATAATAGGACTGCACTGAGAGCTCTACATATGTTATTTGGACCTCACAATAATCCTCTGAAGTATTATTACCTCCACTTTACAGGTAGAGAAAATGAGCTCAGAGCAGCTAAGTGACAGCCCAGGATTTCAACTCAGGCCTGACTCCAAAGCCCAGTCTCGTACGTGCCCAACTTAACTCATAGGATGGTTGTAAGGAGTTGATGTATGAGAAATCCCTTTGGAAATTTAAATTAGATGTGGATGATGATGGTGATGATCATGGGAATATTAGAAAAGTGGAACGGTTATAAATGAACTTATACATTGCAGCTAGTACCTCAGATTAGGGGCAAATAGAAAGTCACTTGAGTGCACTAGTGGTGTGGGATGGGGTACAGAAAGATAGCTGTCCAAAGACAGTGACAGAGACTGAGGGAAGGAAAGATTTAGAACAGGGGTGGGGAATCTTACTTTTAATCAGGAGCCCTGACCCAAAGAAAAGAAAACTACCAAGAGCCACACACTAGTAGAAAGCAAGTCATTTTTGTGTTTTTAAGAGATCAAAATATCAAACAGCCAGATTATCTGCTTTCAAAATTACGAGCAAGCAAAGAAAATGAATTCAAATGAATTCAAAAGATACAACAAAGACTGAAAGTAATGATAATGGTAGTGTTTATAATGACTGGGGCAATGGGCAGCTTCATACCCTGCAGGAGGGAGAGTTAATTGGTACAACCATTTTAAAGGGCAATTTGGCAATAGAAACCTTTAAAAATGTGTGACTGCCCTTTGGTCATTCATTCCTTTTCTAGGCATTTAGTCTAAAGAAATAATTGGACAAGTATGAAAAGAAATACATACAAGCATGTACTTTATGGGGTTGTTTATCATAGCAAAAAATGTCCAACGATTGAAGTTGGCTAAATATATTATGGTACACCCATACAATATACTACTAGGCAACTTAAAACTTTATAGATTTTTACATATTGCATAGGTAAAAAAGATTAGAAAATGTTATTTATAATATAGTATTTTTAATAAAAATATAGATATTTTTGCTCAGAAAATATGAAGTGAAATATTAGTGATTATCTCTGGGTGAGAGGATTACAGTCTTTTTCTCCTTCATCTGTACTTTCTAATATTTCTACAATGAAGACAAACTTAACAATTTTCAAAAGATACAACAAATTAAATTCACCTTGGTTCCCAATTATGCCAATAAAAGTGGGAAAGGGAGAGAGAAAGAAAAGGAAAAGGAAAGAGGGGGCAAAGGAAAGGAAAAAAACAGAGAAGATGAGAAAAAGAGGAAAAGAGGTGGCTGGAAGGAAGCAATGGAAGGGAGGAAATGAAAGAGATGAGAAATAAGACAGAAAAAGATCAGGTGAGACCAGGCAGAAGGGTATCTAATAGCCCCTGAGGTAAAGGTGTTAATCAGATGAATTGTTCTGTCACATCCCGCTGTGGCATGTGGGGAGGGCATCACCCCACCCCCAAGACCTTATTGGCTCTCTGGCCGTTTAGAATCATCCTTTTTTTAGTGTGTTAGGAAATAGCTTGTTTTTATTTTTTTTAATTCAACATCTATTCTCAAGTTATTAATTTATATTTGTGTTTATTATATAAACAATACATATTCATTGTGTGGCAATCAGAAAACACAAAGAGAATCAAAGCCCTGCCATCATACATCATATTCCAGAGACAACTGCTGTTAATTTCTGTTGCATTTGCTTCCCAACTTTGTTCTATAATTAAACATAAGGCCACCTTAGCTATTGACTTCTCTCTCATTGCCTTTTTTTTGTTTGTTTTTTGTTTTTTGTTTTTTTTTTTTGCGGTACACGGGCCTCTAGCTGTAGTGGCCTCTCTCCCGTTGCGGAGCACAAGCTCCGGACGCGCAGGCTCAGCGGCCATGGCTCGCGGGCCCAGCCGCTCCGCGGCATGTGGGATCTTCCCGGACCGGGGTACGAACCCGTGTCCCCTCCATTGGCAGGCGGATTCTCATCCACTGTGCCACCAGGGAAGCCCTCTCATTGCCTTTTTTAAATGAAACATTTTATTTTGAAATCATCACATGCAGTTGTAAGAAATAATACAGAGAGATCCCACATCAATTTTTGTTAAACCGCATTTCATTCGCACAACCACATATATTGCCCTACAACCAGCCTTTTTCATTCAGGGTGTAGCATAAGCACATTTCACATCAACAAATGCACCTCAAAAGGAAAAAAAAGCATATTTGAAAATATGATGCAAATAAGATTATCTTCATAAAAGTAACAAAACATATACAGTAGCTAAGGAATAAACTTAAATATATACAACTTAAATGAATAATAATATAAAACTACTAAGGGACATGAAGAAGATTAGAATTAAAGGAAAAAACACATCTTATTCCTGGATTGACATGCATTTTTTCAACTAAAGATTTCTTTCTGTAGGTTATTCTGAAGACTTTGTAGGACTGTGAAAAAATGGTTTAGGTTTTAGAGCTACAGAGTAATTGAGAGTCTTAAATAAGTTGGTTAATTTACTGGCCATACCCCAAAGTTCCTCTGCTATTTAAAACTGGGTGGACTGCTTATCTGCACTGTTTAATCTGAGCGACTAAGTCTGGTTTATTCCACAGTATCTAAAGGTTACATCTGAACTAGTATTCATCAATTTATTCTGAGCCTTTTTCAAATCAAACCCAATTTTCAGTCTAATTGGATCACAGCGTAAGAATTAAAAGAAAAAAAAAGTGGCAAAACAATATTTCAGTGTAATCTGGATATATAATACTGTGGCCAGAGCAATGTCGCTTGCTGTTACTTGCTGTAGTTATTGTTTTGTTTGTTTCTTTGTTTGGGATTTTTTTAATGGAAAAAATGGGTTTCCCTACACAAAGGAGATATGAAAAGACATATGCAATTAAAGGAAAAAGCAAATGCAAAGTGGCAGGCTGAAGGTCACATCCAGCCTATGGAAAAATAAAGTTTTTTGATTTATCCAGGCCTTTAAAAATCTTTTAATTAGTTGCCAACATTTGAAAATCAGGAAATTTGCATTAAAATATGGATTTCTGGTGTACTGGATCTTTCCATGGGCAGCCTAAGCAGAGGCACCACCAACAGTAATGGAGAAAATCAGAAATTTTAGAAAAAGACTTAATTTCAGCACACATGTAAATTTTGTGTGATCTTGAAAAACAAAATTTCATTTATGTTTAGAAATATATCTATTTTGAATATCATTTGGGGAAGGGGCACTAGAATCTTTTCAGACTTTGGGCCTCTCAAGGTTGTATTCTGAGCTTCATTTCCAGTTCCTCTTTAACAATTGGAAAATCTGGCCACACTGGGCTGAAATTCTCAGTGGTTAGCCTCCACCAGACAAGACATTCACAGTTCCCACTACTTTTATATTTTCTTATACCCCTCTGGTCCACACGTCCACTCCACTCATTCAGGTTACTTGCCTGGCATGTGTGACATTTTAGGTTGGGGTTCCTGGCACATACACAGACCAACAAGGATTTTTACTTACTCTTTCGACCTTTTAAGTAATCAGGGTCAACCAGGACTACACCATCTGTGGAGAGGGGGAGAGATGGCCCTCTGGTCAGGAAAGGTCCTCAGAC